CCCCCCCCCCCCCCCCCGAACACATGAGGGAGCAAGTGGTAAGCAGTAGGTCGTCATTTCGCAAACAGTGAGTGCAGGAGCAAGAAGTAAGTGGTCAGGCAAAAGGTAGGGTGGCGTGGTGAGACGTTTACGAGGACCGAACTTGTTTTTGAGAGAAGCAGGGCCGGGGGTCAGCCCCAGCTTGTAGCTACCACGCCCACATCTCCTAGTCAGGGCCCCCTGGCCTGTCTCAATCTGTCTATTCCAGGCACTCGCATGCATGTTGCTTTGACGGCATGTCGACAACATAAAATTGGTGGCAGGAGTTGCAGTAATCATGCCAGAAAATAGCCTTATGCTGTGCGCAAGTCAATCAGCTGCAGTGCCACATAGCAGGCTAGCTGTAGCATCCCAGTAGGAGGCGATCTAAGCATTTTAAAGAACTTTCGTAGATATTCAACATCCAGTCGTCACAGATCCCCGGAAGGTTTCATTCCATTTTCGACTCCTTGGACAATGTGGCCCTGCAGAGCTCTTCGCCCCTTGGACTGTTCGCAGCACCAGGTTTGTTGAAGCTCTGCTTTTTGTGACCCCTGACAGGCTCGCGAAGATTACCATGGTGACTTCCCCGACCTCCCACAAGCAGTCGTATCAAGACAACAGAAATGAGCCGGCGATGGACAGCTGGATCTGATGGATTTAGGTTGTTGTGGCAGGTTTCAAGGCGCTGCGACATCGGATCACATACTTACGGCAAGATGGCAGACATGCTTTTTGGATGTGATTGGTTTGCACAGTAGCTGGGGTGGCGCTGAGTGCCTTGTACCTGCTGTACAAGGTCACACTTCTCGCATCCATTGCTTCAAGTGTCACACTTGTTTCACAGGCACAACTTGAGCCAAGTGACCACATCATGTTGAACGAGGGTAAAGTTCGGATAACGGCCGCAAAGCTCGGCGATGAATCCAGACGACAGGTGAATTATCATCTCGTTGCAGCCCCAACTGGTTTGTTCATCGTTGCGGCTCTTCCGGCAAAGCGGCAACAACAATTCATGACGATCGGTAGTCAACGAGACGACCGACACTACGAATAAGACCTCGTGTTTGCAGTACATGTCAATGGCAGTGCCGCGTGACGATTTTCTATTGCCGCTCGGCACACCTGCAATCTGCTTTGCGAGGCAAAGCCTGCGAAGCAGCTCTACTCAGCAGTGTTTCAGTTCGAAGAACCTGGAAGTGCGTGACTGCAGAGAGCAACTCTCACGCAGTGTTTGGACTCAGAGTTGTTCTGTTTGCTTTGCCCTGCAGTCGCTTGCTACACAGCAATTCTGCGACCCAGAGCGCGTGTTCGTTCGACGAAGAATCCGCGCCAAAAGATTCCAGCAGTCTGCCTCACAATGGGCACCAAGTGGCAGCGTTTGCACAGCAAGGTGCAATCCCTCGTGCCACATGGCGAGAGCGGGTTACTACATTTAGGATCAGCTTCGTGCCTTGCTCCAGGCCATTTCATGGATTGATAAGTGGTCAAAGACATGGTCAATGCACGAGTTCTGTAAGGCCCCTGGCACGACAGGCTTGCATGCTCAGGCTAGCACTTAGCAACCCAGCAGGGCCCAAAACAGGTGAAGCCGCCACAACACAACCAGCCACCACGAAGCACAACCACACACAGAAGTATGCAGACAGTAGCAGGAGCGTAAGCTCTTTCGCCGACCTGCTGTTGCATTATCGCGTCACGGACACAAGACACAAGCCCACCGTCAGCAAGCAGTACCCATATAGATAGTCGACGAAGCCTGCGACGTCATCGCTGCAAGGTGTGGGGCTTCGAGCAAGTGGTCCTGTTTTGATGTAGACAGTGGGGGAGGGAGTTGATCCCTGGACCTTTCTTGTTCACCTCGACCAAGCACGGCCTGGAATCTTTGAGGTTCCAGAGCTTGTCCAAGTTGAGCTGGTTCGATCATACCAGAGTACTGTGCGATCTGCACATGTTGCTTTGGGCCGCTTTTCTGAGAAAAAGTGTGCCGGTTCAGCCGTTCGTTCTCTTGGCTGAACCTCTGTGCAGGTCGATGGATCCAAGCCGAAGCCTTGGAAAACTTGTAGCTTGGACGTCCTTTGTCGTTCTCCGATCTGTGCCGAGTTATAGAAGGACCCGCTTTGCAGTAACTGCTCAGAAGCCCGCAGGCGGCCCCACCGCGGGCCCTACCGCGGTTCAACTTCCGGAAGGGCTGGTAAAAGAGGCCGCAGCAGCCACGCAGAGAGGGAGTTGCTCCATGTTTGGCTACTTGCAGTGCTGTTGTGTCGCTATTGTCCACTGACTGCCCAGAGGTTTCAACTTGTGTGGTCTCGACACTTCCACCAGAGTCGACGCGGAGGGGCTCAACTGGAAACCTATTCCCATACCACGAATTGCTTGTTTGACCAGCAGATGTTAGAATGCACAACATGCTCAACGAAATGCATGTTGCTCCGGGGACAACTCAACGAAGCGCAGTCGTAGATCCGCATGCATCAACGGCACTACGGTGAGCCGTCCTTGCACGAAAGTCTTAGGCAAAACCAGAGGCCCGGAACGGTCTCCGTTTCCGCAAAGACCGCGGTTTGGATTGACGTTAGCGCAAGTCCACCTGCATCGTGCAGTCTTGACGTTGTCTTCATGCACTTGACAGGCTGAACGGGTGTCGCCACGATTAAGCGCTTGAGCCGTGGGGCCAGGTACTGCGAGAAGCTCCTGCCGAGAATCTTCGATGTCCGCGGCCAGGTGACAAGGCAGGAAAGGACAACGTGAGACGGGGAGATGCAAAATAAGGTGCTTGAGATGTCCTTGAAATGTCTGAGTAACAGTTGGAGCCAGTGACCCTGAAAACCGCATGGCTCGGGCGTTTCATGGCTCAGCAGCTCGACTTGCAGTGTCCTTACATTTGCCTCGACTTGCGACTAGATCTCGCAATGGCTGACCGCAAAGCCGTCATCAAGAATGCGGACATGGCTGAGGAGAGCTTCCGGGGTGATCGACAAGTCTCCTTCCGTAAGGCAGTGTAGACATTGTGGGCGCTTGTTGGAATGAAATTTGGCCCACTTCCTGAACACTCGTGCAGCTTTCGATCGGGGTCGGATGTGTATTGTATGCGACGGCACTGACTCTTAAAGACTCGAGAGCAGGATTTCTTGCTAAGCATTCCGACCGGATGCATGTTTGCAACCACCTTCTCGCCCATCTGCATCCATCTGCCATCTCCCGACTTCCTGTTGTGAGCGAAAAAACAATGATCCACCGGAAGTCTGGCGGCCTCGGGAGCTTCGCGGCCTTAGACCGAGGCGAGGTCTGCACGAAGCTCATGTGCTCATGCCTACGAGAGATTGGACGAAAGAGAGCACCAAGCAGAAAAGCGCTTCTGAAAGATGTAAGTCGGACGTGCGGCAGGGCAAGTCAAAGATCTTTCGTCGTAAATTCCGCGAAGCATGGTGGACGAAGAGTTTCAAGCCGGCACAAGGGCACGTTACAGTGGCATCGCGTAACAGCGAACAAGAATGAGCTGGAACGAAGACGATCGCACCATACGGTCGAGCCCGGCTTATGACCACACCTGCAGAGGGCGACTGCTCCATGCTTCTCCAGCGAACCCGAAACGCAAAACTCGCCGCCCGAGTTTTGGCTTGGAGCTGCTCTTCAGTGAACTCGCCTGAATCCGAACTTGCTGCCAAGGCAGCTGAGAGCTAAAGTTAAAGCCCGAAACTTGAAGCTTGTGTTGGCCTGCTCGATACGAGTGACACAACTCGGTTTGCTGCAATCCAGGACATGCAGCAGGATGCCATTGACTGCGCCACCCAGGTGCGGCTACCACTTAACGCCTGTGTAGCTGAAAGCCTCCTCCTAAACCGGGCATATTCGCTTCCTGTGCCAGTGTTTCTTCGAAATTGCAGGGTTGCTTAGACAGGAGATCGGAGTCCTCAGGCATCGGAGAAACAGTTGGGTTGGGCCAGTTGGGCCACACCGTTCGGAAGGCTCTGGAGAAGTACAACATCGAGCACCTTGGCCACCGCTGAAGTTGCCAAGACAGGCCTTCAATGTTGCTCAGCTGGTGAACTTGAAGGGGAGTCCATGTGCGACCAAGGAAGGATATTGCAGCTTTCATCAAGAAGGAGTTCGACAAGAAGCATCTCAGCAGTTCTACTTATAGCAGGCAGCAGCTAGCAATGGAGCTGGAGCACCTTCGCGAAAGGCCCCAAGCCGTGCCGACCTATTGCAGCCAAGACGGCTGGCTGCTAGCTTACAGTCGTGTTCGTAGCATGAAGCCGCGACGCCATTTAGTGTCTTTCCGGGATAGAATCAAGCCCTGCCCTCTTCGGAGTTCGTGCCTTTACCGCAGATGTCTTCAACCTCTGTTTTAGGTACAATCCCACGTGGCACTGCGTGGTGGGGCGCAACTTCGGTTCTTACGTGACCCATGAGACGAAGCACTTCATCTACTTCTACCTCGGTTTCTGGGCTGTAGTTACAAGCCTCGTTTTGCTGCATCACCACCCACAGCTCGTGCGCTGCTGTGCCAAGGTCAAGTGGCCATCCTTTGCTTCAAGTCGGGCTGAGTCCACCGCGCAAAGAGCCAGAAGTGCCTTCTTGCACTCGTGTCCGGTGACCCATCTAAAGCCCGAGACCGTATTGCACTCTGCCACCCATATTGAAACTGCTCACGGACTGGCGTCACACGAAATTCCTGAATGGAAAGCGGCTTTGCACCGAAACCGCCCGGTGGTGGAATGCAGCGGATGAGAGCAAAGTTTGGCTGAAAATCTGCGGGTCGCTAACAAGGGTTTAATGCCTATGAGCGCACGAGGACACTCCGCTGCTCCCATGCCCCTTGCCTCTTTGCGAATTTGAGTTGAAAGCCTCCGTCAGTTGAACTGCTGAGAAAAAACTCCGCGGTTCAATGCACGCTCACAGACCTGTGATGTCGCATCAAAGAAACGCTTTGCTTCCACTGCAGACAGTAGAATGATGATAGACTGCAGCAAAGGCTGCAGGTCTGATGGTATCCCGATATATACTGGTAAGAAGCTCCATCCAGTACGACGTAGCTTCGGGCTGACCAGAAGCGGCTAGATATTTCGAGATACTGAACTTGATGTTCATCTGCTTTAAGCTCAGCATTGTATCCCGCAGCCTGCCGATTCCACACGAGTGCACCAGGCAGAGAGCACTGGAAGTCAAATCTCTTGCAGACGCTTCGTGCATTTCGGTTCTCGCCAATGCCAGCTTGCTGCAAGCATGCAACGCTGCCGCATTTTGTGCCCCCACGGTCGCCTGCCTTCGAAGGAGTCGCGACTTGTCAGCTCTGGAAACAGCTCTAGTATCTCTAGTCGACATCCGAAGCCCGCTGTTCAAAACTTTAAACTTGTTATAACTTGTTTCTCGAGAATGTAGACTCAGCATGAAGCTCCTCAAACCAGCCGGAAACTCGAGAAACGCTGTGCTGGTTTAGCTAGCCTCCGGCTGCTTGAAATCCAATCGCAGTACGTCTTCCATGTTGCTGTTCGTTGGAATGGCAGATGGAATAGGGATCCATGTCGAGGTTTGGCTTGAAGAGTTGGAGCCTGATTTGGACAGCAACTGTAGATCTCAGAAGAGGGCACAGCACTGAGCTTGCCTGGGCGACTCCGGACTCAGGGTTGGTGTTCGTGCAGCTTATGAGTCGTGTGTTTTGCAGGCGCTCACCTGTCACACAAGATTTGGAAGCTGCACGTCCATTTGCATTTCAGGTTCTGCTGATTGCCTTGTACTTATCTCAATCGGTGGTTGCGGGGGTCATTTTAAATTCGAATGGACAAGTCCGGAAAAGGTGGTGTCACGCACGCATCGCTGGACATGAAGCGCTCATATGTATAATCATTCGTAACTGTGCCGAGCAGGACCTTTGGGGACGGCCCGAGCTGCCTTATGCCTCAGAGAAGAAGAAGGAGAGAGCTTCCAGACGTCGCTTAAGAGAATGAGAAAATGAATTGACATGAAAAGAAATACAATGAAATGCATGAATGAAATGAAATGAGATGAGAAGGATGAAGGAAGGAAGGAAGGAAGGAAGGAAGGAAGGAAGGAAGGGATGCAGTACAGTATGTTGTGCTGCGCACTGCGCCGTGCAATACCTGCCAAACCCTGAACCCGAAGCCACGATGCACCCGAAGCCGACAGGAAGGAAGGATGGAAGGATGAAATGGAATGAATGAATGAAGGAAGCAAAAAGCATGAATGAATGAATTCATTAATTACTTAATGAATGAAATGAATGAATGCATGAATACATGAAATGAAATGAAATGAAACGAAATGACATGAATGATGGATGAATGGATGGAACGGGATGGATGAACGAATGGAATGAAATGAAATGAATCAGTGATGGAAGGATGAGTGGAGTGAATGCAATGGAATGGAATGGATGAATCAGAGAACGAATGAAATGAAATGAACGAATGACCGAATGCATAGAGAATGAATGAATGGTGCACCCAAGGCAGGGGAGCGGCAAACGGACAGGGACAGCGGGCAAAGCCTGGCCTAGCTCCCCTAGCTCCACCGAACCGCGCATACCGACAAACACGGCCTGACAATCGGGGAGCATTTCACTGAGGTTAGTTTGGCAGTGATGGTTGGAGGCTTGTGGAGCAGTGGAGTAGTGCAAGTCCTGCTGCGCGGGCATTAGGTCAGGGTTTGCTGACACCGTCACTACTCGCACAGGGTTCGAGGCGGGGATACATCTTCCGTTACTCGAACAAGTTCGAGGCCTCATAGGTCATAGTTGCTCAAGGTAGGGAGGCTATCGCTCAGTGCCGCATGCAGGCCGGAAGGCGAATGACATATCCTTTTTGCGGCTACATGGGAAGAAAAGCACCCTGCAGACATACTGGCCCTGACGGGGGAGCAGGAAGGAACAAGACCGTGCTACTAGCGGGGCAGCACCTACTCTTCCGCGATGGGGAGCGCTGTGCTGCCGATGGACGAGACAGAGCAAGAGAGAACTAATGAATTGATGGATGGAGGGATCGATGGATGAATGGATCAATGGCTGCATGGAATGGAATGAGAGAAACGAAATGGACAGATGGACGGACGCATGGAGGGATGGATGGACGGATGAATGAATGATTGATTGCATGAATGCATGCATGGATGAGTTGAATGGATGGATGGATGGTATGTCTTGACATGACATCAACGGAACGAAAGAATGCATTCACGCATGCATGCTAGGATGCATAGATGAATGAATGAATGAATGAGGTCATGAAATGAAACAATGAAATGAATGAACTCAAATGAACAAAAACCGGCGCGAATTCATGAATGAAATGAATCGCCGCTGAATGACATGAATGAATGGATGGATGGACGGATGGATGAATAGATGAATGAATGAAGTGGTTGGAATGAATGTATGAATGAATGAAATGAAATGAATGAATGAATCTCTGAATGAATGATGGATTCATGCATGCATGCATGAATGAACGTACGAATGGAAAGAATGAGATGAAAAATGAATGAACGAATGGATGGATGGATGACGAATGAATGAATGAATGAATGAATGAATGAAACAAATGAATGCATGCATGCGTGGATGGATGGATGGATGGATGGATGGAGGAATGAATGAACGGATGAATGAATGAATGCATGAATAAATGAATGAAGAGCGAAAGAAGATTGCACGAATGGAACGAGTGAGTGAATTAAAGAATGAATTAAATGAGCTAATGAATGAAATGCTTTGAATGACTGGATGGATGCATGGATGGATGGATGGAGTGGAATGGAGTGGAATGACATGAGTGAACGAAATGAATGAACGAAATGAATGAAACAATGAATGAATGAATGAATGAATGAACGAGGGAATGAGAACGAATGAATGGATGGATGGATGAATGTATGGATGAATGAGTGGAAGGATGGATGGATGAATCAAGGGAATGGAATGGATGAATGACATCACATGACGCGAATGAAGTGAATGAGAGAGTGAATGAATCAACGATCGAATGAGCGAATGGATTAGTAGATGAACGAATGCAGGAGAACGACTGAATGAAATGTCATGTGTAAAAAGAAATGAAGAATAATCGAATGAATCCAGGAAGGATTACTTGAACGGAATGCAAGGAATGAGTGGAATGAACGCATACTTGAGTGAATGGATGGATGGATGGAGAAATAAATTAATCGGGCGTTGTGGCTCGCGCCAGACAGGAGCCGCGACTTCAAGGTATCAGACACACACACACACACCTGGCTGCCTCAGATTTGTCCGTTCGCTTAGGAGACAGCCGTGGAATGATTTGGGGCTATGCCTGGATCCTGACCTCGAGCACTTTGGCCTGTGTTTCAGCTTGAGCTTCGGCTTTCGGACTCTTTACATCAGACTCACTTCGGAACACTTGGCCCTGAGGGAGAGGCGTAGACCAAGTCTGCAAGAATCTGCAAATCACAGAAACCCCCGCTAACCCGAAGGTCATGCCACCAGCTAGGCTTCAAGGCACACGAAGCACATAGATATATGTTCACTGGCTCACAGGGGTGTCTGGCCCGGCAACTTGGCGCTTGTGAGAGGCAACTGCACATGGAAAAGTTTGCTCCATGATCCCACATGCGAAGGCAGCTGCAGCATCATTGCCGCAGAAGAAGCCATTTCATCAGAAGCGTCCCCAGATAGTGCCGATGCTTGCTGCTGCAAAGGCGGGCTCTGGCAGCGTCCATACCCTCGGGGGAGGATTTGCGTGTGCATCATGTCAATGCAGGGCCCTCGGAAGGTAGCCGTGTGCGTTTCCGTATGTTGCACGTTCTCGAGGCTAGGCTTTCCCACTGCTCACTGAAGGCAACGCTTACAGGCTTACAGGAACAATCTCCAGATCATGCATTATCGGCAGTGCATTCTACACAATTCGGAATTCGAACCAGCGTTCTGCTCCAAGGCAGCGCTTCGTCAGGTCTCTTGGACGGCAGCCCTCCAGGCCGAGGGGCCTAAGCGCTTCGAAGCTCGGCCTGTCCCTGGCCGTTGCATTCGACCGGTCGTCTGCGAAGTCACCAGGCTTTGGCCGAATTGTCTGCGTTTCGCTTCCAGGCAGGAACACATCGGCAGGACTCGAGGAGCTTGCATTCCGATGGCAGCACACAACCTGTGCCAGGCGACTGAAGTTTCCCACAATGCAGCCATCGCGGCTGCAGCCTCTGGGTTGATTATAAAGCTTCTACAATGAAACGAGCACGATGACATTGCTTGGTGTAGTTGGGGAGTTCTGCTGAACCTTCTCGTCTGACGGTTCCAAGCTGCATTCACAATTGAAAACTGGCAGAACTTGTAGACTTGCACCTAGGCCACGCAAGCTAGCTGGCAGAGCGCTGTGGCCGTTCTTCGCCTGAGCTCATTGCACAAGCTGCAAAGCGTGCCCCGGCGAGTTGGAGATCGGAGCATCCTGCTGTGACCTTTGCATAGCTTAGCCCACAGCATCGCAAGGAGCAGATAAGGACATTGGCCTGAATTCAGCACTCTCTGCATGTGGCAAAAAGCATCTTTGGGAGACCGCGACACTCC